ACTGATCAATGTCAATAAATCAATCTATCAAACTATCCATTAGTAAATCAATAATATATCCGAGGCTTTTCCTCGAATCCCTTTGCGCATCAGTTTCTTCAGGAGCCATTAATGGATCTCCTCCTTTGTTCTTTCCTTTCTGCATGCGCCAATTAAGTGCATTCGACTGTATTCTTGCAGGAGGAGAAGGATATGAAATTCAAGTTTGCTCGTACCCGTGTTTGGATGTATTACGTCAGTAGGATCAGTCCTCTGGCTCCCCCGTTTAACTTGTTTCCGGTAGGAAAGATCGCTTTAGGAATCCGCCGGCTCGTTACACGGTGCAGCTCAATGGGAGAAGTAAGTAGTAAAGAACAGTAACGGTATAAGCACTTGCACAAAATTTGGATGTTCGTTTCTCGTCTTGTAAACCAAATGAGCCAAGAGTGATCAACATGCAACTTCTCATGGTAATTTTATTTCATAATTTAGAAAATATTTAGTCGGAGTACTCAAACTGATCAGCTGGAAGAGGTTGTCCTAATGTAACACTTGATTCTCCTAATTCATATTACAAGGAAATTTATGACAATTAGTAAGGAGAAAAGATGGTTATTTGGTGGGATCTAAAAATTTAAGGCATTCCTTCTCTCCTCCTCTCCCAAGAAATAAGAAAGAGTTTAGGATTTAATTAATCCTATCTACGAGTTTTAATTTTTAATTTTATCTTCTCAAGTGTCTCGTCTGCAATGAGAAGCAAGAATCGTCTCCAAAAACCAAGACAAATGAGAAGAGAGTGAGTCTGATTCATAAACTTTATTAGGATTAGCCTATAGAGCTAAAATGACACAGTTATGAACAACTGTAGAGGTATCGGTAATTAGGTACGTTGAAAGACACACTACAATTGATTCCTGAGCTTTTTCTATTTTTTTTTTGAAAGCTTATACGTAACCCTGGCCTACTTTTTCTCCAATGAAACACAGGCCCAGAATGGGTGAGTGATAGAATTGGCCTCTGTCCGAGCGCTTTTCACTTGAAAAATACTAAAACCTAAATAGTTTCATTTGGAAA